GCAGAGCAGTCAGGGTAGAAGGACCAAGGAGCGGAGCAGGACACTAAGCCACCTGACAATGCAGGCATTCCCAGGATGTTTCTCGCCCATATTTCCTAAAGGGAAAGATGTATTTCAGTGATGCCATAGGATTTATTCCAACAGCTGTGCCGTCCACAATCGCAATTAGCAGACCGAAAGTGAAGCGCATGCATAAGTATTTTCAGGGTTGGTGCCAGAGGCTGTAAAGTAATTTGAGATCTCTTCAGATTAAAGATATAGTACAAGGACCTCCAAATACCACTGTAAAAAAGGACAGCCTTTCACAAACTTGGTATGCCTTGCATTAGGCCCACTAATAAACTGCAGTGAGAATTATCCTAATGAAAACTTCTGTGTGCTTTTCTTTATGGCAGCATCGTGTTCACACCATCCTAACAGCAGACCTGGTCATCGTAATGAAGCGAGGGAACATTTTAGAATATGATACGCCTGAGAACCTACTTTCTCAAGAAGACGGCATCTTTGCTTCATTTGTCCGGGCTGACATGTGAAGAATCACATGATGCATTTTAATAGCTTATTTTTAAACAAATGAAATGCAAATATTTTCTATTCAATGTAAGATCACTTTTATCTTTTTTTTTTTTTAGAGCTTCTTTCTTCACACTTCCATCTTCCAAAATAATAAAACTTATTGCAATGCATGTATGCCTCAAAGCAATAAAAATGTCACTTCATTCAAAAGCTATTAAACTTCACAATCACACACATGCACACAGAGGCAGAAGTTTTCATTTCCTGGGAATTTGGCATTTTCTTTAGATGTTTTAGTGACTTTATTTTCTTTTATAGAGAGCAAAAGAATGCACTGCTCTTATAAACTGCATATGTTATGCTGGAACCAGCAATCAAATCGTGCAGTTTGTCAAGGAAACAAGAGATCCCCAGAAGCATTGTGTCCCCAGAGGGGAAAATTTTGAAAAAACCCAAATCCAAAGCTATCACACTGGGGGCAATCTGCTGCATTCCAAAGGCATAAACTTTGCTCTTCAAGTTGTAGTGGAGGAGCCATGAATGCTGGAAAGGAATTTCATCAGAAATAAGGAAAATCTTCCTGTCCTTCACTCTAGTTCGCACACGATAGTTGGCACAGTACTATTTTTCAGTGCAATGATGGCTTATCCCTACAGCCAGTTCCTAAATCCATACTTGTTCTGCAGACTTTCCTCAATCAGAGATGGAAATAATCTTATAATTATGCATGCTTTGATAGGCTTATAGAGGAATTTTGTACAGTATCTTAAGACTTTGTATTAAAAATAATCTGAATTTATAAACTTGATATTAGCCAATCTTTTAAACATGTCCACTAAAATATTCTACCTAAAATGGCACGTAGTTAGCCAAGCACTAATTGGTTTGTATGTCTTTAGTCCTTCACATTATTTTTTATCCTGAGACAATCTTTTGTTTCCTTTACGTGTTTCTAGAGTATCTCTAAATCAGATCCAATCTAAGAAGGTATGATTTTTAAATTATTTCTGTATCTTCAAGAATTTAGGTGCCTTTAGATACATATTTACATCATGCAGCTTTGAAAAAGTTGCCTGCACTTTACTAATGCATATGGCTAGATTCTGAACCATGACAACTGCACAATGGACAGTAAACCTCCAGGAATTTCACAGACATACTTCCAAAGGCAGAGCTTTTGACATCAGCTTCACTACTAGTATTTAGGAAGAACACGAGGTGCACTTAAGCCTATTCCTAGTGTAATTAAAAGAGCATAAGGCACAGTACTTAGCAAAAAAAAAAAAAAAAAAAAAAAAAGCTATGAATTTTGGAGAAGTTGTAGGACTTAAAATTGGGATTACATTTAGTCTGGTAGTGTATAAATGATACAGTGGTTTATTTTTTTGTTGGGTTTTTTTTTTTTTTTCCATCTTAACTATTGGAAATAAAAGCTGTGTGACACAACTGAAAAAAAAACCTCAGTCTTGAACATTTTATGATGGGAAGTACTTCTGTGATTTCCCTGTCTACTGCTGTGAAATGTTTTTGCTCTTTTCTGGATTAATTCCCTGTGTTGACCTTTGTCATACAAAGAAAATAAAAAATAAAGCAGATGTTTACAGCGGAAGCGCATGTTGTTACACAGATTTCAGAGCCAAAAGGCCAAAATCATTCTTGATTTAATTTCATTGTCTTCAGTGAAAAGCTAATTAGATTCATTGCTGTCAGACTCAGTCACTATGAAGATGAAGTATAAATAACTTTGTTTATCTGCATATCTTTAATGACGATGCAATCCTGATTTATTTTAAGTGGTGACAACTAGTTCAGAGAGATCCTGGTTCCCACTACATTAAATGGCTGCCATGGGCCTGGGATTGTGTCAGATATCTTGTAGTACTTAAGAAGGGCCAATAATTAGTACCTCTTTCCTCTTAGATTTGTTCCAGAGCCATTACAGGTGTAAGAAGCACTTTCTTCGCTCATCCATCCCTCCAGAGCTATAGAATCTACCACTACTGTTTAAACATGTAGAAAAGAAAATACATTATGAGATGAGAAAAACCCACCAGCATGCTTCATTCATTTTGATGGAGGTGCGCAGGAATTCTGGCCCTAGTGTTACGTTAACCACGGTCAAAGTGTTTGATGATCATTGTAGCGTATCCCACAGCTGCCTAGCAGGTTTGAAAACACAATTTGATTCCTGAAGCAATTAATCCTATTCAACATACACAAATCCCAAGAGAGACAACAAACATAAACCAACCGCTACAGAGGTACCAGATCTCCTTGCATATATATATATATCCTTTATAGCCACTGTGCATATGATGTTATAGAGTCACCAAGGGCTTAGGCTGAACTTTGCTTTTTTGTCTTTTCCTGTAATGGAGGAGGGTGTTCCCAACAGTTGCGCAGCTGTTTTGTTACTAAGAAGGGTGTAGAAGGGATGAAGTCTTTGAAACAGATTTCTTTCAATTTCATGTCAAGGTCTGAAATGTGTCCCCTTTAGGAGCAGTTTCCTTAGGCTGTGGTGCATACATGGTAAAGGAGACATCAGCCTGGAGATTTTGTTCCTTTGACTCTTGTCACACTCCCCTTCTGCTGGTCAACCCTTATTCTCTTGCCACAGCCTCCGTGCTTTTTTTTTTCTTCACCATCTCCTTGTTCCATACCCTCTTTGAGGTTCATGCTTGTACCCCCGAATGCTCCTTATTCTGCCTGTGGCCTCCCATTCCTTCCTGATGGAGCTCCATACCCTCTGCTCTGTGTCCTCTCTGCCACAGCTCTGCCCGCTCTCCTCTCCCCCTGGCTTTCTCGAGCTTTCTACCATAACACCCCTCATCTTCAGGGGGACGCTTACTCTAGAGTGTTCATGTTTTGGGGTTGTGGGTTTTTTTCAAGCATTAAACTAAACGAGCTTTCATTATTGCAATATTATTCTCTGGGACTATGATGTTGTTCCTTTTACAAAGGAGCTTTAAATGCAAACTCCGGCCCTGTGTACATTTCTTTTAACTACAGATGGAGGAAAATCATCTGTGTGACAAATCCTAAATTATGTTTCTCACCTCATCTGCATTTCTTTTTCTGTTAAGTGTTTCTGTGACAGAAGAAGTAAAAGGGAAGGAGTAAGATCCTCTGTTGCCAATGCAACTGCTTGTGGATCCACAACAGTGTTTCTCAACCTTTAAGTTGCAACCAGTGGGTTATCATTCCCTCTCCTTGAGCCAGCTCTAATGGCTGGCACAGATGAGACTGCACCTTTCCTGTATGTGACCTTTCATCAGACTCACAACAGCTTGCTGCTCATTACTGCTTCTTCCAAACCAGAAATACCCCATACAACCTTTGTGTTTATTACTGAGCCAAAACTTCAACGTGCTGGGAAACCTACCGTAGGCGTTTAAAGTAGCTCTTGAAGCAGGTCCACGAGCCTCTGCCGTAAAGCAACACTGCCGACAGGTAGCAAGGGGAGCTTTTCCCTCCTCAAGATCCAGCACTTAAAACAGATCACTCCATCTATTCGCTTTGCTGGGGATCTACATCAGCACAGTGGATGCTGGGATTCATCTAAGGTGAATTATTTTGGTGATGTTTTCTAGGCATTCACAGCTTGAAAGATGATGAGAATCTCCTTAAGAATAGCTTTGCCTGAACCACTTGTGTTCTGATAATTGCTATTTACGCTTCGGGGATTTTGGGAGCATAACAATTATTTGGACTTGCCATTTCAAACAATACAGTTGTCAAATACGAAAGTTGTTCGGTTTTTTGTTTTTTTAAAAGGAATTAAATCAAGTCAGTGGCTGTGAGGACTCCTAATTCTGAGCTGAGTTTCTTGCTGACTTTTTGTAACTTCAGACTTGTTTTAGATTAATATTATATGTTATTTCAAAGAGTCCCTTATAACTAACTATTCATAGTTTGCTTTGTTATGAAGACATCTTAAAACCACCTGGATAAGTTTTGTATTTGATATAGAATATGTTGTCTGTATATGTGTGTGCTTATACACAAAAACACACATGTGATCTTTTATTCTAAAGAAGCATACGGTACAAGCAACTCAAGGTTCATTTCCTTTCTGTTCAGAAGAAAGATTTCTAAGAACAAAAGCACGCTTTTTTCAATGCCAGGCAAAGATCCACATCACTCGGTCAATGGGATGACTGACCTGGTGGAGGTGCTCGTCTCTCACCCACATCTGCAGAAGGAATCTAGGCAATGAGCTTGAACTAGATGTCTGCCTTTTCGATTGCTAACTTTGTAGCCTCAGGGAGCTCTGAGAGGTGGAAATAAAACAGTCGGTGGGATTTTTAGCCACGTGTAAAACAAAGAGGACGCACTGATCCACCAGCATTTCCTGCAAGGCGGACAGCCCTATAGAAGTTTGGGATAGCTCTGATATGCCAGGGGCATACGCAAGGCAAAGTCTGCAGGGAGAGGTTATTGCTCTGTTTGGCAAATTGATATGCAAAAGAGGTATCTCAAGTGTTTATAAGTTCTAGTTTCATTGCAGATGTGAAAAACCTCTTCATTTGCAAGAGTATACCTGCTTTTTCCAACTGTAACATCCAGCTGAAAGAATATATTATCAAAGACTTCTCTAGCGCTTGGACAAGCCCCTTTTATGTTAGTGTAAACTAACAGAACATCTCTGCTATAAGTTAATACACTCGCACTGAATTCAATCACTACCAACATGCCCAAAGGATTTGGCATCTCATTATACATAAAGCCTCTGTCAGCAAAAAGTAATTATATTGAATTATGTTTTCACAGACAGATGACCTCAATTTTGAAATTGGTCAAGCAGGTCTCTACAAACTTCTTATATAATATATTGTTTTAATTAATTGTGTTATTTTTGCTTGCTAAAGCAATGGGCTCTTGTGCTTTGTTGTGTAAAGACGCCAAAATATTCGCATACCGTTCTGCTAACGTGTCATGAGAAGCTGAAGGAAACATCACACGTACATTTTACACAAGCTATGTAGGAATTTTATCCCAAATGGTATAATGTATTTGAGGCACACAGCTACCTTTATAAAAAAGCTGTGGACAAGGGCCATGTTTTCATTATCACGTTTCCATTATTTAGCGGCAAAAGTTGGAGCGTGTTTCCCTTGCAAGCTCTATGGCCCAGCATCCCCAGTGTGATACTGCCAATAGAAATCGGTTCTAAAATATCTAGTGAAACCACACTGCTACTTGTTAAAATCTCTCTGGAGCAATGATTCTCCCATAAAATGTGTTTAAAAGCAAAAAATTTATTCCGCACATTTGCTATTTTATATTCTCAAGTATCTTTTGAAAGCCTAACGTAAAATCAAGCTATGGTATGTAAATTCTCTGATGTGAATTCAATGATGGCATGTAAGAAGCTCTTTAGTTTCTTTGGAAATAAATCCTTTCAAAGGCAAAA